TGAAATTAAAAGATATGATAAAACGAGTAACGATTGCATTATAAAACGAGAAGTTTATACCTCAACGGTACGATGAGCCGCATCGCAGTTTAATCGTGATATCGCATTGACAGTGAAAACAAACGGTTCCTCTATTTTCCAAGCAGATACATGTTACCCTTTTTCCGCAAGGTTAGCGTGGAAAAAGACGGTCTTGTACGTTGCAAAGTATCTGCCTCTATATTTTCTGAAGTATTTTCCTGATCAACAGAGACGCTATCTCTGCTTAGAGTGACCAATGTAGGAGTAATATCTTTTGCTACACAATCTTGAATGTAACTAAATTGTATTAAAGGATAATCTCCTATTAAATATTCCTCCTGCCCGCAAACCTTCAGAGTAAAATCATTTGGATGTCCTTTGGACATTAAAGTGTTTGCTCGTTTATTTAATATAGATACCAATAATTGATATGGCGTCGTACTGTGTGATATTTGAAATGTGAAAGCTGTCTGGAAATAAATTATAATCATTTATAATAAATTATAAATATGTTTATTTAACAAGATAAAATTACTACTTTTGCTTCTTTTTTGAAAATTTTATACTTTTAACGATTTTCTTCGATTTCTTACTTTTTGGCGGGAATTCGCAAACAGGACAGGAAATACGTGAAGGGTGGGGAGGATGACGGATGAGTGGAAATACCGAGGGGAAGGAGAGAAAGATAAAATAGAGAGGGAAGTCATAAATATAGATGTTTACACTTTTCATATATATATATATATATATATATATATACGAACTGTAATTCAAGAACAAGTACAAGATAAGTATACGATATTGTTGATATTTGTTAATTTTTAAACAACAGTTCATCACGATTCGCCTTTAAATTTGAACGCGCGTAATAAAAGTTAACCTTAAAACATGTCTACACAAGATTCAATAAATGTGGAAGAATATATCGAAGAATGCACAGACATACGCAATGATCGTTGCTATAAACTATTACAAGTTGAATACGAAAATTGTAAACAAGAAATTCATAATTTAAAACGAAGACTTGAATTAAACGAAGTTATGTTACGGGAGGCTCAAGAAGCAAATGAATTACTTGAACGTTCTCTCGAGGAACGAATCTTCGAAAAAGAACAAGTTATTTTCAAAGACAAAGAAAAGTAAATTTACGAAATTTTTATAAAAATACAATATTGCTTGTTAACCTTTCTCCTATTTTTTTATTTTTTCCTTTTATAGATATCGCATTCTTACAAAAGATTATGAAAATATAATTTCAAATTTAGAAAAAAAATTAGCACAACAGACACAACGAATTGAAGAATTGCAACAAAACGCTGATCAATGTGTTAAAACTGAATGCAATACTATCAGAGATCAATCTACAAATCTTTCTCTCGAAACAGATAATATTTCCTTAAGGAATCATGTTGACGAACTTTTATCTATACTGCGAGAAGAGAAAGGAAAAAATGAACATGCGGAAAAAATGATCGAGGAATTAAAAGCTCGATGCGACAATTACGAATACTATACTCAAGTGAGTATAAAAGATTGATATATTTATTAAAAAATTATTAGAATATTATCAGAATATTAGAAATAAAATATAAATAAATTATGGTATATATATATATATAAATTATATGATCGAAAATATAAAATAAAATATTATTTCTATTGAATAGAGTATCAAAGAACAATTACACGAAAAAGATCAAACTTTAGAAGAAGTTCGCGCGGAACTTATTTTAAAACGTGCAGAAGTGGCATCGCTACAAATGGATGCTACATGTGAATCACGTAAAGGCGAGTATTAATAATAAAATTTAATTATTTTCATTTAAGATTTTTAAAATTTTTTTGTATACAGGTAATTCACTTTTTGCTGAAGTAGAAGATCGTCGGCAAAACACAATGAATAAAATGAATGTATTACGTGAGAAATATACAGAATTAAAACGCATATATAAATCGCAAACTGCAGAACTTAAAATGTTAAAAGCAGAACGTGTTGCAACATTTAGAAAATGGGAAAATGATACCAATTATATATCAACAGAGAATGAGGAGTTATTTCAAAAATATAAAAATAGAATATCGGATCTCGAAAGTAAATTGAAATGTGAAATTAAGAAGAATGATTCAAAACAATTAGATCGTAACGACACATCTTTCGGGTATAAAATGAATTATATATATATATATATATATATTAATAAAATTCTAGCATTAAATAATGTCCATTTGTCTTTCTCTTTCTTGTTTCTCTATTATACACTTTTTCTTATATATATATATATTTTTTTTTTTTCATTTTTTCATTACAAAAATTAAAGCTACTTTCAATCACTTTTGGATACTAAAAGAAAAGAAACAGATGAACTACGTACAAAAGTAGACGATCTTTATACAAAATTTTTGATACAAGAAGAAACAAAATTGACTATTACCAAACAATTAAATTATTGGCGTTGCAAAGCTCTGTCTCTGGAGGTAATTATTTCTATTTTTGATAATTTTAATTTTATTTATTTGATAATCGTCTCTATTTCTAAAAGAATGGTTGTATATAATATTTTTTTTTATATTTTAAAAGGCTCAAATATGCGCTGCACAAGCAGAATCAAAAATGGATTTTATGAATCATGTAGAGGACAAAATCTTGAAAGAATTCATTGATGTCGAGCAAAAATGTAATAACGATAATACAGAAATTAATGAAAAACAATCCATTGACAGAAAAGGATTACAAAACTCTGCTCAATCATTTCCATTAAATAATTCTGCTAAAATTAAATATACTTCCTGTTTGATTAAAAATTTGGAAGATTGTGAAAATCATAATGAACAAATTGATAAAGAAAATTCTAATCAAAATAATTGTGTAGAATTAAAAATTCTTAAGCCTAAAAAATCATGCAAGTTTGAACATAATCAAAATGATAATAATAATGCAAATAAAATTTCTAATAAACTTTTACATTCTATGGAGAATATAGCGATTGAGGAAAGTAAAAATTTATCTAGCATGGACAATGAAAAATATCCTATAGTTTACATATCTAACTAAATCCAATGATTAATAAACATTTACTATACGATATTGTATTCGTCGAATGTAAAGAAATATTTGTCAATTTTTCAATATATATAATATGATAATAAAAAAATAATAATAAAATAATGTAATGTTCTCTTACCTCTGTATTTTCAAATTTAGTAACAAGAACGATATTTCCATCTTTTAATCGACATTCGATATTTTTTGGTATCGTGGCAGTCGGTGCTAATCGCGTAGGAAATTGATAACGTACTTTTTCCATCCAAGATTTCTTTTGTCTTGCCATTGCAACTTCATCTCCTAAAACTCTCATTTTCCATCTAAAGTCATTTACTTCAGAATTTCTTAACGCTGTAAACTCGTGTAATCCTTTGCCAATAAGAACACCAATTCGAGAATCTAAATTTCTGTCACTTTTAACACCTTCACGCTCTATAACTTTAAGCACAGAACAAAATGGTTTAATATCGCACAAACGTCTAGTTTCATCTCGTAATTCTTCCGCTTCTGCATTCGAGTTAATACATGAAAATACATAGGACGGAGCATCTTTTAATGTACCATGAAGAGGATATTTGCTGGCTTCATCCCAGAGATCCTTTAGAAGAATTTATATTGGTTATTAATATATATTTTTATATTTATTTTTTTACATAATACATATATACATACATATATATATATATATAAAAATTACATTTTTTATATTTTTTTAACCTACCTCTTTAATTTCAGCCAAAGTGATATTGCGATTAGTTTCCAAAGGTATAACGACCCCATTTGGCATTAAACAAGTAAGTTCAACAACTTCTGTGGGTGATTTAGCCCAAAAATTGTAAGTATACGCACTTGGTATATGAACCATTGTGTTAAACGTTTTCGATAATACGTAAAAAAATTTAATAAAATACAAAGGACAATAGTTAGTTTAAATTAATCGAAGAAAAACACACGAAATGTATCGTATAGGTCGCATCGTGACCGAAAGTATCCTTTCTCTTTTAAACAATATGACTTCATTGAATCGTTTGATAAGAAGTTGTATGATAAATAAAACGATCATACGATCAACACAATATCTCTCTTCTTATGAGCTTTTTTTCTTCATTCTTATATCCATACATATAATTGTAAATTTTTTTCAAATCTGAATTTTGCAAGATTCTAAATTCAGATTAATTGATGAACTTGCTCGATTATTTAATTATTATCGGTTGAATTTGTAACATTTTGTATCATATCTATTATGTACTTTAATATATAAAAGAAATGTTACTTTATTCGATTCGAATCACACAAGTGAAATCCTAATAATCGCTTCTTTTTATACGTGATAACACTACTCGTCAGCCATTATTTTTATAAATGCATTCTACCCACCTACTTATACACGTACATTTATGTACATATGTGTATATCAAAGCAAAATTAGTCTGTTTTTCTATTGGATCTTATTTCAATCGAATTTTATATATATAAAATTATATGTACATATGTATATATGTACGTATATACGTAAGTAATTTTTTAATTTCTCTCATAATATCTTATAATTTACTTTTTAATATATATCTAATTTAATAAGCTTGTAATAATGAGCTTGTAATATTTGTAATCGAAAATATTGATCATCGTTTAATTTCATTATGTAAAATAAAAATATAAATATATAATAATAATAATAATAATAATAATAATAATAATAATAATGATGATAATAATAATAGTAAAGTCCCTAGCTGCCATTAAATTAGAAAAGTTCTAGATATAGTTATTTGTTATAATTCAATTTGAGAAAAAAATCTCTAAATATAAATTAATCAATGAAAAATGACTTATAAGTTGCAGAACTTTTGTGTCCTTTACTTTGTCTAACCTGATTGTTACCGATTTATTGGTATTTGGAAAATTATAATATTGTTACTGTATTATCGATTGATTTTCGAGATTTGCAATTTTACGACGTATATAACGCGTATGTGATTTATATGCGGTAGAATTGTCAGTAATTGTATGTATATAATCAGTAATCAGTAGTTGAATAGAAGGTACAAATCTCGCGAAGCTATACATTATCGCTTTTCATATTATTTCGTTTGTTGAATTTTTAGGTATCAACGTTTAAAATTTGACTCGTGTAACCTCTTTTTCATATAATTATCGTACCAAAACAAATATAATAAGATGTAAAGTTTGCGAAAGAATTGACTTTATATAAAGTTTTAACGAACGATTTTAACGTATTCATAACAATTCTGACAAATGATTTACAATTACAGTGAATGACAACTTGTGCCTACTACTGTATTAACGGTAACTTTCCTAACGTTTTAAAAGAAAAAAAAAAAAATCATATTAACCGTAATATTATCACGCGTAAGTATTTTGCATTTTCACATATTATTTTGATTCGATCAAAATTAATTAGATCTCAGAAAAATATATATGAGATATAATATACATGTACGTGTACATTATACATGTATACAGCTGATATATTATTATATATTTATATATTATATTATACAACATGTTGCTTTAATAAATATGTAAAATAATTTTAGTAAATTTTAAGTGTAATTCTTTTATAAATTTTATAAATTATTTTGAAATATTTTTTTTTCGAACCTAATAACTTATTGCAGGTGTCAATAATTGTTAAAAAAAAATCAGGATCATTGTATTAAGTATGTTTGGGCAATCCGGAAGTACATCGTTCAGTAAGTAAAACAAACAATAATTTTTTGTTCTCTTTCATTTCTTTTATATAAATTAATTACATATTATTATAATTAATATATTATTAAAGGTGGTTTCAATACAGCTACACAATCCAGTCCATTCGGACAGTCGGCATTTGGTAAACCAATCACTACAACAAGTTTTGGCACTGGTGCTGCACCAGTCTTTGGTAGTAGTAATACTTCTCTCTTTAGTTCAAAACCTGCGAGCTCTACCACCGGTGGCTTATTTGGTAATACTACAACTCCACCTGCATTTACTCAACCATCTTTTGGAGGTAACAATTTATAGATTATTCGGTATATTTGGTAAATATTTTATATAAAGTGGTTAATAACATAAGATATCGAAATTTTATTAATGCAATTTTTTGTTGAATTTTTTAACAAGATTTGTTAATTTTTAAAATCAATGATTTTCAATACAATGCAATGGTTAATGCAACAGGAATAACAAGAATGAATTTGAATTTTGATATTTTTGCTTATTTTTATTTTTTCTATTTATTAATTGAATTTGATTTATGAAATCAATCAATTATGCATATTATATAGCTTTAATTCTTTAATTCTCTATTTTTGTTTTTTAAATTTTTCAAAAGTTGATTACAATCGTTAGATTAATTAGTGGAGCAATTTTCAATCAAAACTAATTTTTTGAAACAATTGTATATATATTTTATTAGAAATATTTTACTTAATTTCAATTTTAAAATATATTTATTGTATCATTCTATTATTATTGATACATGTACAAAGAGAAATATTTCTAATATAACGTGTATATAAAAAGTTAGTCTTATTTAAAAATCTTTTAAATTTTTAAAAATGAGAATATAAATAAGTGATTGTTAAAGTTTTAATATTATCAATGAAATTATTATTTTATTTCCTTTTTATATTCCTAATATTAATTCTTTATAAATTGGATAATAAAAATATAATTGTTTTTTTTATGTTTTTATAGGATTTGGCACAACAAATACCAATACCAACTTATTCGGTACTCAGCAAAATGCAAGTACAAATCTTTTTGGCACAAGTACCGCAACTTCTGCATTTGGTCAATCAAACAAACCAGCTGGATTTGGTTTCGGCGCTACATCTGGAACAAATTTATTTGGACAACCTCAACAGTCAACTCAACAAACTACTCCTTTTGGACAAAGCAGTACCACTGGAAATACTAATTTATTTGGTACAACACCTGGTATGCCTATAATATTTAATCATGATAAGAATATTATTCATGATAAGAAGAATCTATAGAATTCTTTTATAATTATTATGTCTGCTTTGTTTATTCTAGGTTTTGGTAATACAAACACTACAACCACAAGTATGACAGGTACTGTTGTTAAATTTACTCCTGTGATTACTACCGATTCTATGTCCAAGAATGGTATATCTCATACTATATCGGCGAGGCATTGGTGTATCGCATCAATGAAAGAATATGAATCAAAGTCTTACGAGGAGTTACGTTTCGAGGATTATTCCGTGGGACGAAAAGGTAATCTTATATATCAAAATTTCTCACAATAAAGATTTGAATGTTTTGTATTGTACAGTTATTTGTCTTTTTTTCATTCGATGATTAGGACCTGGTACAGGAATTTTTGGTACACCAGCACAACCTTCACCTTTTGGCAATGCAGGGGCAGGTACTAGTACTGCGACAACGGGTAATCTAATGCAAATTAGTTATTGTATATCTATCTAGATGTTGTATTTTAAGATTTAATGATTCAGAAACTTGGTTTTAAAATTGAATTATTTTTATTATTTATTTTTTCCTTCTAATATCTCTTTCTTTCTCTCTCTTTTTTTTTTTTTTTTTTATTATCTTAAATTAGGTTTTGGTGGAATAAGCGGAGGTTTTGGAGCCACCACACAATCTGGCTCAAGTGGCTTATTTGGAAAGCCTATAACAAGTTTCGGTACACCAGCGACAACAACAACAAATAATTTCGCTTTCAATTCTACCCCAAGCACAAATTTATTTGGTAGCAATACTCAGAAACCTTTTGGTAGTAAGTATCAAATATTCGTTATTCATCATTAATAATATTGATTAATAATATACTTAGTATTATTATTTCGATGTATCGTAAAGACATGTAAAGACATAAAAATTATATCTTTCTGTAAAAATATAACAATTTATTACTATTTACAGCAGCAGCTCCAACGCCACTTTTTGCAGCCAGCAATACTAATCAAAATACTGGTACAGGTTTCGGTATCAATACGGGACAAAACACCACTTTCGGTCCTACATTTGGTTCAACGCAATCGAATCAGGTAATGCAAACAAAAAATATTCAATAAAAATCCTATTATTTTGTCGATGATTGCATATTAATATTCTTATTTATTCTTATTATCTTTTTATAGAGTATTGGTTTATTTAATCAAAATAAATCGGCTTTCAATGCGCCTTCCACTTCGTCTAGCGCTGCATTCTCTAATTTTGGTCAAACACCGTCAAGCAATACTGGTACTAGTTTATTTGGTGCCAAATCAACTGGAACAATTGGTTTTGGAACGACTTCGTCTTTCGGCTCGACTACACCATCAACTTTTGGAACTACAACAGGTTTCACTGCAGGTCAAAATTCCGGTGCTTCATTGTTTAATACACCTTTTAAACCTACAGGACAAACACCTGGATTCTCTTTTGGTTCGACTTCTACACCATCATCCGGACTTGGTAAATTTATATACATGTATATTTATTTTATTATTAGAATTAAATCAATATATTAAGCATTTTTATTAATATAAAAAATATTTTTAATTTATTATCCAAATATTTCTTATAAAAATTTTAATTAACATTTTATTTAATAAAGTATACCTCATACGATACAATGATCTCACTCTTTTTCTATCTGTTATAAATTAAACAAAACTGATGAGAGAATATAATAAAGCAATTAAGTAATAAAATAACATTTTTCAATTGATATGAATTTATTTTATATTATTTAATTTATTTAATTTAGGTACAAATACAAGTTTGATGTTGGGTAGTGGTTCTACTTTATTCGCTCAACAAAAACCAGGTGGTTTATTCGGAAACACTGGTAACAATGCAACATTTAATACAGCGGGGACATTCGGATCTTCAACATTTGGAACTAATACGAACGTAGGAACGGGTATTGGAACAGGATTACTTGGTGCTGGGTATTATATCAAATTTTTTACTTTTGATTTTTATCATATATATATATACCTCGAAATTGATTAAAAAATATATTTTCATTTTCAGGAATAATATTAATCAAACAAAAAGTTCGGGGACGGTACCAGTGCATCAACAAATTTTGGCTTTGGTATCTGCGCCATTTGGTGATTCACCGTTATTGAAAAATCTTTTACCGGTATATTAAATTATTTTCTCATTTCCACACTATTTCTCCATTTTCATATTTAACTTCAAAAATAATTAAAATAGAAATGTACAAGAGAGCGATAATTTTTATTTCTCAAGAGCAATAGAAAATCTAAAAAAAATATCTGGAATCCGCTGGATACGATACGGGAAGAGATTGGATCGGGAATAACTTTCAATCTAGAAAAATATAATAAATAATTGATGAAAATTTTGGTATTCAATCTTGATAATACCAGGATTTTCAAAAATTTCGAGAATAACATTTTGAAAATATACTCGTTCAAAAAATTAAATTAAAAAAACAGTGTCAAAATTGTCAGGAATCCCGACAATCTTGGATTACGAGATATTTTCATTTTGGACGAAACTCGACTCGATTCGATATTTTTGCATGTTTCTAAATTAAAATGTTTTAAATGTTTCATGTTTGAATGTTGTACATAATATGATATAAATATGATATAATCTTAGGCTTCTGGTAAAACGGAAGAGTTACTAAAACCAGCGAACGCACCTTCCAAACTGTTAAACGGTCCACAATATAAAGTTACCGCTGATAATAAGTCTCCGAAAATAAAAGTGACTTTTAAGGTAAAATCTTTATATCATAAAAATTTTTTTAGATAATTAAGATATATCGAATATTTATAACGAATTTTTGTAGAAATCAATATTCGAAGGTCTTGAAGAGGAAGATCCACTTTCGGAAGCGTTTCAACCTCGTCCAAATGCAAAGCGTTTAGTATTACGTCCAAAATCGATATTGAATTCAATAGTTTCGTCACCTACTGAAAATTCTCATAACGCAACGAAAAATTTACAATCTTCCGATAAGGGGGAAGAGAGATCATCCATGTCGAATTCATATATCGAAGATACAACTATCGAAACTATAGATAAGGAGAATCATAGTCAGGATAATAATCGGCAATTAACAAACGATCGAAGATCATCTTCATCATGGTTGAAAACAAGTCTTCCACGAAATGCGAGTGGAAAAAATTTAAACGAAGAATCATTCGATGGACAACGTTCATTGCTCTCTAGCCCGAACGTATTATCCGAAGAAATGATAAATAATACAATTAGCGAATTGCGACCTTACGCCAATGCCAGCCCATCAAATCAAATATGCTCTGAAATTAATAATTCTGTGGATACGTCTATAAAGAATTCATCTCTTGTTGATAAAACGGATATTGTGATTCGGAATTCCGATTCGAGTCAAGAATTAGACGAAAGTTCTTTTTCAACGTTACAAAATTCTAATGGGAAAACAAATGCAGCAAAAGTGACGTTGACACGTGTTGGTTATTACACAATTCCATCGCTTGACGAATTACACGAATATGTTGATGGTGAAAAGTGTATTGTACCAAATTTCACAGTTGGTCGCGAAGGTTACGGAAATGTATATTTCCCTGAATCATTTGATATATACGGTCTCAATTTAGATGATATCGTACATTTTCGACGCAAAGAAGTTATCATTTATCCTGACGACGAGAAAAAACCAGCTATCGGACAAGGATTAAACCGTAAAGCACAAGTTACTTTAGATCAAGTATGGCCACACGATAAATCATTACATAAAGATATTACCGATCCCTGTCGACTATTGGCAATGGGTTACGAGGAAAAATTACGAAGAGTGTCAGCGAAACACGATACCAAATTTTTAGAATATCGCCCCGAAACTGGTTCTTGGGTTTTCAAGGTAATCAATCGAAATCAATTTTATATAATTTCATAATCTCATATTTGCTTTTTCATTGTAGTCACTATTTTTACTTATCGTTTAGGTAGATCATTTTTCTAAATATGGTCTAAGCGATTCGGATGAGGATGATAATAACGTCCCTACAGTGAATGATACAAAAAGATTGAAACTATGCACCACAACTCAACAGAAATGCGCGACTAAGTTGGAGCAGTCAAAAGCTTTAGTGAGATTTTAATTTTATTTACAGAAATTACAATATAAATAGAATCGTATCGTTTATTATACGCACTTACGATTAAGTAAATTTTTATTCGAATAATTTTTATAGGATGTAGATCATAATCATGAAAAACGATTACCGATAAGTCCAACTGGTGACAGTGCTCGTATTTTGGGTACCGACAGTCATAAATTGCAATTAATGAAAGCTAGCTTCTTCGACGGTAGTGACGAAGAGATTTACGATCAAGGTAAAACTTTGTAATATACATACAAATTATATTGTTCGTTTTCTAATTTTTATAACGAATCTTACTATGGTCTTTTATTCGAAATTGAAATATTATTTCAGAATCAAATCGTAGATTATTTCTTTCGTCCGGTCATAAGAGTTTGCGAAGTTTTATCAATACTGTTCAAAAAATCGATGAAGATCAGAAGTACGAGTCAAATTACAATTCGATGTTACGATCAAATTTGACGATTCATCATCATACACCAACGATTAGTTACGAAGAACCAGCACTCTCGAAGTTAGGTAATTTCAGATTAATAATACATATAAAATGAATATTTTATGCATTTCGAAAATTAAAAAAGAATCGATTTATATCACAGATTCTAAGATGAAACGCTCGATGGATATTATTGCTAAGAAATCATCGATATATGAAAAAGTTTTGCCGGATCCTTCGATTTCTCCTGTGATTATAATTTTTAAATGGATTTCTGAAGCCGTTCCGTTATCAAAGTCTATTATACATAAACTGGAATCTCGTTCCGTTGCCGATATGGGTAAACTATTTTTCATATCATCATAATATTTTCGTACGTTACGAATTCACGTGGATAATGCATATACGTAATATAAACGTGTACTCGTTTACGTATTTATTCAGGCATACAAATGGGAAGAATGTTCAAGCCGAGTTGGGGGCGCGGTTTAACGTTACTTACATTGAACACTAGAAAACAAGCTGACGAGATACCATTGAATAGTCCATTCGAACAAATTGGATCTTACGTATGCGGTCGTTCCCCAGAAGATACATCATCTGTCGCGATAGTGCAACGTATTCAAATCTTGGGTGGTAACAGAACCGATGATGACCGCGTTAAAATATTCAAGGTAAATTTCATTTTTAGCATGTTTCGTAGAATTAAAAATAATAATATTTGTATTTTTGTTTTTATTTTTTATAAATATTATTTAAGGAAAGCATAGAAGGTCATCTAAAAATTCAATTGTCCCATCGTGTAATGAATCAAGAAGGAGATTGCCCAATTTTTGACGTAGATACAGATGTTAATAAAGCAAGTATGGCTTTACACGCGCATTGTAGTTTAGCCGAAGAATTCGCGGAACAGTTTAGCACAGATTGTTTTGCTTCGTACGTTGCTAATGTTTGGAAACTATGCGTAGCTCTTTGGGGAACATTACCTGATATAAATGTTGCTTCAGGTATGATTTATAGACACATTAATTTACAATTTAGTCGCGATTACGAATTACGATTTACCATTCCGTTCCTTTTGTTTTAGATTTTTAGATTTTTTTTCAGGCTTATATTGTCATCTATTTTTGTTTACACAAACATACACGCATGTGAATGAAAATTATATAGAATTAATATAAATTATCCGTTTCATTTGTTTTAGAAAATCCGAAAGATCATAGTGTCGTGATAGCACGGCGAGAGGCTTTCGGGGAATGGTTAAGAAATGTTATACGAAAAACGCTTGTATGGGAGGATACGAATATTAGCAACGAAACAAAGATATTGCTTTTACTATCTGGTATGTATCATTTGTAACAAAAAAATCTCTTGTTACGTTTCACACAATTCTTTAATTCTTTAATTCGTTTAAGTTAAATATGAAATTACATATAATATAATTATGTTCTTTTTCGAACTTTTCTTTCTTTTTTTTTTTTTTTTTGTTTTTATTTATTTATTTTATTTTTTTTACCCGTCATCGGTGGAAACGAAGCTTTCGAATTAGAAGAGGCATGTAAAACTGCGCGAGAAGTAGGCGATCATTGTTTGGCTTTATTAATGGCACAATTATGCAGCGGAATGCCTATAAAGGCATTAATAAAGCAACAAATTGCATTATGGCGACGTGACCATGTTGATGAAAAAATCTCGTTAGATCGATTAAAACTTTACGCATTGATAGCGGGTGAACCACTTGTACCCAGTAAACATGGTATTATCAATGTCTGCGAAGGTTTCGACTGGAAGAGAGCATTAGCTGTTCATTTGTCGTAAATATCATGTTTCCTAAAGCGATGCAACGTATCCTATATCTTTATTAAATTATTAGAATATATATTACGTATATATATTGTAGGTATTTTTCATCTCCAACTGGTTCGATAAGAGATATATTAGATCATTACGAAATGTCTTTCGATACAAGTGATTCGTGCGCTTATACAACTATACCGAAACCTGAATACAAAGGAGATGATTACGAACTTGAAATAAATAGTGGAAAATCAATATACGATCTATGTTTTCATCTATTAAAATTATTTTGTACCGGCAATCATACATTAGGAGAACTATTAAATCCAGCAACGCATACTGCCGATCCATTAGATTACAGACTCAGGTAATCGATCGATTTCTTTTTCTTTTTTTAATTTTTCAATTTTCGATAATAATGGTTCTCAAATGGTTCAATTTGATCACTAGTTGGCTGATGCAGCAAGTGCTTTTAGCTTTGGGTTATTCACACCTTTCGGAACATGTTGCTACTTTAACACATGTTAATTTCGCAACGCAATTAGAAGCATACGGTCTCTGGCATTGGGCTATATTTGTGATGTTGCATTTGAAAGATGCCGGAAAGAGGAAAACTGCGGTAATGAATTTATTGCAACGTCACGTTGAAATAGACGAAATCGCCGATTCCCTTGATCCTGTCGAGCGAGAAAAATTTTTACGAGAAGAGCTAGGTATACCTTCAATTTGGATTCATCAGGCTAAAGCCGTGAAAAGTTACGTAGCTAAGAGGTTCGTAAAAGTTAATGTATAATATATACATGGAATAAGTTTCTATTCCATATCTTCATTCACTATTTCATGCGTTTATGTATCGAGTTAATATATAAAAATAAAAATTTTTTACAAATTGCTTCCATACCGATGGATCATTGATCCATTATCATTGATCCATATCCTTATCGTTCTTATAAAAGAATTTTGTTTTTTTTTTTTTATTCGCAGATACGGAAAAGCAGCTTTTTATTTCATTCAAGCGGAACAATGGAACAAAGCTCACGAGATTATCATTGAACATTTAGCAGCGGATATTATAATAAACGGTATGTTTTTGAAAGATACTTGTGACAATTCTTATGCAATTTTTATTCTTCTTTGTTTCTTTATTTTCAAAATCTTTGCTCTTTTTATTTCTCACTTTATTTATATTTTTATATTTTCAGAAAATTACGATTATTTGCGGGATTTATTACGCCCGCTGATTCCTCCGGAGTACAGTAGCACTATAAGTGGTTGGACTTATCAAGGACAATTACTTTGGGAATATATGGAAATAACTATGGATGTCGAATCTTTGTTACGCGGTGCTGATCCACGCGGAATAAGTTCTAAATTAGAGTCGCTAAAACAACGATTATCAAGCCTTCCATCCAAAATCAATCAATTTCCATGTCCAACTGCTAAACACAGGTGAACTATTATTTTCTTTCTTTTATTTTATTATACCATTATTTTTTTTATACCATTTTTATATCATTATTAAGATAAATCGTTATTACACACGTATAATTATTTTTCACGATAGGCTTTGTCAAGCGGAAATTGCAAAGAGAACATTACATTTGGCTAGAAGTTTGTTACAATCGAACGAGAGTAGATCCACATCGATATTTCAACTGGTATCTCAATTACCATTACCGGAAGATTATGCACAACAAGAACTTCGTCCTATTGTTAATATGCGCGTAAATGAAATCATATATCAGGCAGCATAAATTTTGTTTTCTACAGAAATTTATAGGCGATTGTATTAACAAGTAACAACCATTTTCTTACTCTTTTAACCAAAATAAACAATTACATACTTTTATTTTCTATGATTTTGTAGTAATAATTATAATAATGATTTATATAAAGGTAACTATGATTATGATGGTACAGTAATCGTAATGAGTGGAGCATGTAATTACGAGAATGATAGTGTTAATGATAGTAGTAGTAATAATAATAATAATAATAATATAATAATAATAATAATAATAGGATAATAACAATATCGAATAGGATAAATTTATAATCTCTATTATTAAAGATTATGTTCTATAATTTGTTACTTAAGATATTCTGTATTTATAGATATTTAAATAAACGAATAAGAATTAAAAATAGACAAGATAGGTATACGCGATTAGTATCGTAAGATTAAGCAGTTATCGTTCAAAATGCGATAAAAATTTTTGATAAATGATCGTTAAGATTGGATGGTTTTATTCGAGAAACATTTTATTGAAAATAAATAATCCGTGTATCATGTTGTATGTATTTTAAAAATGTAAACAGCGAAATACGTCCATACAGTATTTTAATACTTTTGTTTTGAAACGAATATATCATAGTATATCTTTTATATCTTTATTTCCGTTGTGTATATTTTTAAAGATAAGAGAAAGTTGATGATGTTTTTTATAATGTTCACATTTGAAATTAAAAACAGAAAAAAAAAAAAAAAGAAAAAAAAGAAAGAAAGAAAAAGAAAAATATTTGTACGTTCAAGATTTAGAAAGTTGGCATCGCGTTGAAAATATAATATATACGCGTTAAATCAATGATACCGAGTTTGCGCATCCGACTCGGTTTCAATCATCTCCGATACACGAGATTTTCTTCTCAGCGTCGAGGTTGTCGATTCGTTCGTTTTAACTCTTTCGCAAAGAACAGTTCCTTCGCGATTAATGTTCGACTGCTCGATATATCTTCGTTCTTCCCTACAGCCTCTCATTCATATTTTCATATCTCGTAACTTTCACCTTCTATCTTCCCCACTTTGATATCGTCAATCTAAGCTTCTCTTCCCCTAATTCCGTTTTATCCCCGATACAGTCGTTGCGCCTCTGTTGTCGCCGCTTTCATCGTTGCAGCCTCCATCGCCATCATCCCTACTACATACCACCAGCACACCATCTCTGTTGCTCGATGTCACCAACGACACTACTACCATTACCATTAGCTGATATTCGTCTACTACCTACATTCCCGTTTTCAGGGGTGTTTGCGAGCACGCGCTCGCACCAGCAGAATAGCGTTACTCCCGAAACGTTCGAGTCAACGTAGTAGCGTAGTAAGAGTAATGCGCGCGCGCTAGACAACTAACCAGCCACCTTTGGTTCGAGCATAAAGCGACTTGTACACCATCTTTGCCCGATTTTCATGAGAAAGTGACATCGAAACGGAGTACATCTCGCGCGTAATAATTAATCTTTATCCGTAAACAACGTATATTTTCATCGTATATGATACTTTTAATATATCGTATAGTGTAACGCGTGCTCGTAACGCGTGCAAATACTTGATTTTTCTATCATTTTTTCTTTCTTTCACCTCCTCCGTATTCCCCTTCTTTGCATCGTATCCACCCCCTCCGTGTTCTCTCTCTCTCT